CCTCCACGCCAGACCTGCATTTTATCATTACATTCTTGATGCCTTTGTCGTCACACCGTAGCGATGACTATTTGTGTAACCATACTAGTCAATTCCAACTGTTAATTTCCAGTTTTGAACGAACTCCCAATTCTACTTTTGACAGCTGACGTGTCTTGTTATCTTTAGGCTACACTCTGAGTCGTCTGGAGGGTCGCTTGGGCACGCCGGAGAGACCCCTGTCGGAGCAGGGGCTCTTGGTGTACAGGCGGTATTGGCGATGGGTCTTGCTCTCATTTCTCCAGCCCTACCGCCACAAGGACGTCTCCTTTGAGGGTCCGTCGCCTCCTGCTTTGTTTTTTTCCAAATGTCCGATTGTGCCTCGATGGGTGGTCGTCTGAAACGCCTATTACTACAGTCGTCTGAAGTACAGTTAAACAATTAAGATTGAAACAAGATGCAAATTTTTTAGAATCAATTAAACATTCTAAATGAAAACAGTAGGAATTGGGGGAGGGGGGTTTTGGAGTGCCAAGCTTCCTTCCCCATCAAACACTGACTATTTTCGATCGTTCACTCAAAAATCGACCCACCGCCATTGGGTGCTCAGTCTGTATGGCTTTGCAATTGATGATACAAAATAACTAATTTTAGCCTCTGTTCACTGTGCTGCCCGTCAGAGAGAACTAACTTTTTGCTAGTAATGTTTCATCTGGTGGTGTCTTGTCTCACCGATTTGGGTCCGACAGATTAGTTTCTAGAGAAAGTGCTTATCAGCGTCTGTTCTAATCCTGAGGCCCATAACTCAAATGGAGTTTGAGACGAGTGTTGACTACGTTTCATATTTTCTTAAATTTTAACTGTGCTACCTTTGCTGATTGTTTGTAGTCATCAGTGCAGCAACGGGAATGACTACAAAGGACATTATTACAACCCTCCTTGATTTGGAAATGATTAAGTACATACGAACGAAGTACTTCATTGTTAACGACAAGGTAAATTTGTCTTTTTTTCCAAGCTTGTCATATTTTCTGCAAAACGGCTACTTTTAACAGATAGACAAGGTATTAATTCAATGCCTTTTTACCCTATTTGGTGACGAGGTGTTGTGTGGATGGAGAAATCAAGGGGTGTTAGTAAAAGAGTTGCAACCACTGTTGAGGTCAGTTTAATGAATTTTTCTAAAGTCGGTGTTGTTGTTTTTTTTTAACCACCCAGTTCCGCTGGCACTGGTGTGAAACGACCTTGTTTTCTTCCAGATTTTTTTTTGCTCAATAACGAGTATAACTGAAATTCTTGCTATCAAATCCAGTCGGTGATTTTTGTTTCAGCTTAACTCTAAAACAACCGTCCTTCAAATTGGTCTAATTGTGTTAGCGCTTTGTTTTCAAAGATTGTTGGTAAGCCTGAAATTCAGTCGTGTCCCGCTGGATCCCATCGAATGCAGCAATTAAGGATTTTGCTCAAAGGAACGCTCTAGCTAAATCACGGGATAGACGCACCTTCTTACTTTTTATGCATGAAGAAAGTGCGAATTCACCTAGCAATCCTACTTTTTACTCTCCTTCATCCCTGCAATGGGACAATGCAATTATGCCTTCTGCGCAGTATTTTTTTTGCTCCGAGAGAGAGAGAGAGAGGGAGGAAAGAAGGTAGGAGAAGGGTATTAATTAGTCCCATTCTTTCCGTCCCAAGTATGTGTACTGTAAATTATCAAACTCGTTCCGTCACCGATGCCTATCCTATCTTCATGCAAACATGTCCTCGTTAGAACCAATTTCTTCCAACTTTTGTTCAAATATGCAAGAAGTGGGTTTTTGTGAGCATTGGGACATCGGTGTATCCGAACTGCCCTTGACTATGTCGGATTTAACTTTATTAATTAGCTGTCTTAGTGCTTGAGTTGTTGCTGAGGCTTAGTATGTGGGTCTAAGGGTGGTGTAGTTGCAACATGCGGCGGACGGGAAGCCGGGTTTCGCGCCTCTACCGGGTGGACTGAGTCGCGTGGGCTCGAAAAACTCCACATTGCCAAGTGTGCACCCGGAGGCATGGAAATAGCTTTACAAAGGTGCTGATAATAATAATGGTAGCGTTGTTGCTGTTGTTGTTGGTGGTGGTGGGAAGGCGCTGCTGTTTGGTACCGAAGACCGTGAGAAAATGTGGTCATTTGCTCCTCATTAGAAGTTTGATTTTGAAGGTACGCCA